TCTCTTATACACATCTAGATGTGTATAAGAGACGGATTGTAAGGTTACTACTTGTATTTTTCTATTTTTGCCATTTTTATTTAACTTCTTTCATCATTATGTATAATTGTGTTTTATATGTATGTGCACGGCCCCGGGAACAACCCTGTGTTGATCTGGGCCTCCGTGGTTTAATAAGTTGTCCATTCGAAATCACTCAATGTTGGCATAGTTCACAATCACATTTCCTAAACCTGGTTGGGCATTTATATTACTCAAAAGATGTACACGCTGAATAGTGTATACTAGCGTTGGGCAAAAACGCTCTTCAATGTAGGACCTTACTTTTAAACCAGTATGAAAGAAGAGACAACATTTGTCGGTTTTTAACTGAAGGATGAGTTGGAAAAATCATTAAATATATTATGTCATGTGGAAGTTGGTAGATTTAAGCACAATAGTTTTTGTAGTACCATAAATCATAACGTTACAAACTCTGCTGAAATGTTGCGTTAACGAACGTTTTGATAAACCTTCCACAACGTTCGCAAATGCTATGATATAATAAAGTTTTTAATTTGCTGGGTGGAGTTGCCTTAGGTTTTAAAAAAAGGAAACCAGTGTCTCATGGCTTTATGTTATGATTAGCCTACAGTAAGCCTACTTTCATGAAAATGAATGATGAAAAAAAAAATTATTGATTGTGAAATAATAGCATGCTAACTTTTATTTGGTACCTCTTAAAATATCAGTTTATAAACGACACTCGAGGATCTCATCAGTTATTTTACATGTAATTTGGCATCTTGCCACGAATTGTATATTGAGAAGATATAAATAATAAAAATGTGTCCTGGGCACGACATTATAAACTGCATCTGGTCGAGTCGTCGGCGACTAATTCCGACAACCCCATCTGGTGGTCTTTAGCGGCCGCCAATGGGAGGGTGGATGGACACCCAGCAGCACGAAAAAAACAGCTGAACAAAGGGCGGATGAACTCCTCGGAGCCAACGGCCAACCATGCCTTAGTTTAAGGAGTAGGTTTTTTTTTAGTTTCATAAAATAACTTCAACTTTCTTTTTCTCAAAATGTCCAACTCAAAGAAAAAGCCTCTATGCGCTTGGTGATTGAGGAATCCCCAAGCGCAGAGGCTTTTTCGCATGATGCGCTCTACAAATCCAACTATTATTATTATTTATTATGGACTAACATTTTCCAGAAAATGTTTAAATTGTATGATTAAATACATCCTCTGCAATGGTACCCCCGTCAATGACCTAGCCTGCAGGTGCACACATTCTTAGAGGGAAAGAACCAAAGGAAGATCGTCCAAAAAAAGGGAGGAACACTATAAAACGATTATACCAAGCTGAATAAAAAATCGATGACCACTGCCAGCCACACTGGCAAATTATGAACAATTCATGTAGCACGTGCCACCACTGTGTGATGGTGATATGGATGTAGGCCTATACCATTGTGTTCTTCAGAGGCCATGTAAAAAGGGAGGGAAAAATGTCTTTGACAGAACTACCTCCTAAACCAGCTGCAATCCCATTTGTTCATGTCTGCAATGCCAGTGATTCAACTCTGTTGAAGACTATGAAGTCACTCACTAATTTTAATCAATCCACTAAGAATAAAGTAAAGTAGCAAAAAGTGAATTATTAAACTTTATTGACTATTTTTTACTTACTACTATACAGCAGCATAAAAAATATCTTACAGAAACAATTTAAATTTCTTAAAAAAAATAGAGTAATAAACTAAAAATGCTGTTTAAAGGACTGCCCAAAATGATATGATCATTACAAGTCCCAATTGGTCATTTTTAACTGCATTTTATACCTACAAAATAATTTGCACTTTGTATTCAGCATAAAAATGGCATTCTTTCCTCCTTAACATAAATGTAAAATTTCAAAATAAACAAATTAATGACAGTATAATGTGTGAAAAAATTTTAAATGATTTATAGATATCTATAAATATTCTGCAAAAGAAAATAAAAAAAAAACCACCACCAGATTAGTTTTTTTTAGGAAATTCCTGAATTTTTCAGGAATTTTATGATTGAGTTATCAAACTCCTGTTGATCAAAAATAAATATTCACTTTCACATCCGAATAACAATAAAGGCAGACTTTCACATATTAATTATGACATAAAGTGCATTCTCTGAGCAATATTTCATGGCAAATTGACATATTTACGTTTGGTAATAAAATTCTTTGCTAATTAAGCATTAATATTATTTTTCACATCCTAATAACAATAAAGACAGATGCTTGCATATTAATTATGGCATTACAGTATATTCTTTGAAAGTGCGAATTGACATTTACGTCACATCGCTTCTTTGCTTAAGCCTGGTTGCCATAAAAATCGCTACAGCGTTTTCACTGCAATCCTTGCACTGCGTAGGTGTCCCCGACGCAATCAGGAACGCTTTCCAATTTAACTGATCAATCAACGTCGCCAAAGAAATCCCCGATAGCGTGTAGCGATTTTTATTTAAACCAGGCTTTTATTCTTATGCCATTTCAAATACCCCAAATAACTAATTACATGAATATTAAACTCATGTCCAAAAATTAGCCATGATGGTGAGAATTTTGGTTTTGTTGCCCAGATACACAATTCCATAATTATTGTTTATTCACAGCATATACACCATCAATAGTGCACAAAGCAAAAAACAATTATTATTGTAGCAAACAATAAAACTCAATATCAGCACTACTGGGCATTTATGATAAAATGTGTTTTTCTTTAAGTAAAATAATAATAACAACAACAATAAAAATAACAATAATAATAATAATAATAATAATAATAATAATAATAATAGTGGTTTACTTATGTCAACTGATATCTATTTTTAATAATAAAAATAATAGTAATAATTAAATTAAATTTTAATGGTGAAAATGATATTTAACAAAATTGCAGTTCTATGATGTGATATAAACAATCTGTGCCTGGAGGCATGAGCATGCAAGTGTTCTGACAATGTGCACACCATGATCTAAAACTGTAAATAAATATATAGGGTAACCCATCACAAAATGAAGGACGGTCTAGGATACAATTTGAACGATAACAAGTTAAATGCAAACCAGAAAAAAAAAACCCTAAAAAAGATAATTTGTGAGAAAATGGCTTAAAAAGTGATAAAAATCCAATACAGTAATTCAGTTGTATGCAGCTGGAATTCTTCAATCTGTGCCACAATGTGTTGATTTTAACATTTTGGTAAGTCAAAAGTAATTGCCTCATGCTGAGTAATTCCAATAAAACAATTTTAAAAATTTTTATTATAAAAAAATCTAAATACTAGATCTTTCAAATAAGGTACTGATAGTTTATAAATATATTTTTTCATTAGACTAGCAAGCATTTGACAATTTTTTCTATACCTAATTTCCAGTAAGTAAAGTAAGTAAGTGTAAGTTTTACCATAACTTTCAATTACGGTAAATTTTTTCTTAAACCACATTTATTGGACAAACATGGAAACAATTATGCAAAGTTTTGAACTTGCATTACACTCACCTTGGTACATACAAAATAATGCTCTATTATGTAACCTTTAACCTGAGGTCAACTTCAATCTTGAACCATTTAGTCATAAATTATCATTTAGTCTCATTCAGCCAGTCACTCTATGGAATTCACAGATATTCACATTAAGAGTCTGGATCAATTTTATATTTTTCACCAATACAATTGTAAACAATCTTCACCAATGAAATTATATATGGTGAAAACCTTTTATCAATGCCACATGGCCTGCCTCCCCAAAATACAAACACTTTCAATAAACAGGACAAGAATGTAATACCCACGGTAGGGTGTCTGGGTGAATGAGAAAAAACTAACAAGTTATTCAAACTCTGCTATAAGGATCATGAGAGCAATACCGGTTAAAATAGCAACAATTTCCATTAGTGATCGCATAACAGTAGATTCCTCTTCTAGTAATTCTGGAATTACTGAAACTGTAGCTATGTAGATGAAACCTCCAGCTGTAAATGGTAGAATCCAAAGCGTTGCTGCGTCACCTGCCCCTTCGGCTAGGAGTCCACAGATGCAGCCAGCCAATGCACCCACTGCCGTAACCAGTTGTAGATACATTGCCTGTAAGAACAAATTAACAATATATTAAATTTTGTATAATTGTATAATAATTGAAATGTCTCTAGGGAAGTCAATCAGTCCTGGACAAATACTCCATAAACAAGACTAGACTACACCACCATTTGGGTTCATCATACCAACAACTTTATTCAAGCTATCCACCTAGTGCGTCACAGTGATAGTGCCATCTATACTATTTTATTGTTTTTAATAATTGTATTTTATAGTAGTATTTTATTGTTTTTAATAATTGTATTTTATAATAGTATTTTATTGTTTTTAATAATTGACTCTGTATTATTTATATTTATTTATCAACTGAAATCTCCCAGTATATAAAAATGGAAGAGGATTTGAACCAGGGCCCTGCCCTGAATAAAAACTGTTTGGATGTTGAATGTGTATAGACAACACAAAACTCAACAGCCAATTTTGTGTGTAAATGTAATGTATTAATTCAAGTAATCAAGTGAAACATACAAAGTCGAAAGTATAAAAACACTTGTTTCAGAAAGGGTATAAAAATAATGTTTGTCCTTTGAGAGAATGAAAATTACTACTGACTGAGATACTGAGATATAACCTCAGTAGTATGTTGGGCTTTTTGACCAATTAGAGTATTAGGCTGGTCACTCCCTTTGATTGTATATTCCAATGTGCTGACACTGCTGACCACAACATAAACTTACTTTCAGTTTTCACTGAAAGTTGTCAGCTAATAAATTATTCCTACCAAACCTTATACATTAAGGGTAGGTACAGTATGCATAGTTGAATGCAGTGTAAAATTTAAAGTTAAAGTATTTTGATGATAAAATGTTAAAAATAAAAATTGAAGAAATTAAGATTCAAATATGAGTTATAGACACTACAACTGTCTTGCTGCTTCTTAGACTTGGTTCACACAGCATCTCTGTCCGCAGTATGTGACAAATGATGTCATATTACAACCAAATATGGGCATATTACATCTATTAGTCACATAAAATTTGATAAATGCTTAGCAATCTGTCTGCCTACCTTTCTCTTTGTACATCCTGACTGCACAAGGATTGCAAAGTCTCCGATCTCATGTGGAACCTCATGTAGGAGAATTGTAATTGTGGTTACTATGCCGACATTAGTGCTGACAAGAAACGAAGCTCCGATTGCAAGACCATCGGTGAAATTGTGGGTGCAATCAGCTGCGAGGTTGAGATATCCAGACACCTTGATCTCAACTTCTTCATGTTTTTCTGAAAAAGTAACATGATTGATAAAATAAGTGATTATACAAATAAATCACATTACATGAACTTATAAACAGGTTGATTATACTAAGCATATTATTTAAGCATTCTTATCTCAAGTAGTAAATATACCAATGTCAGAATTTGTCAGATTTTTTCTCAAAGGGATTAGCCCCTCCCCACTGAATGTTCAATGCAAGGCCCCACTGACCAGGATCACACAAACCAACTAATATTATTTGGATGTTTCTGACCATATTAATCTCATATTCATTTATACAGTATGTAAACATCTATATTTAGCTACATAATAGTTATGGTAACATATAATTCATCAATATTTAATTACATTTTTTTAATTGCTAGTTACCTTCTATTTCCTTCTTATCCTTTTTATCATCATCTTCTTTATCAACCTTTTCTTCTTTCTTCTCATCCTCTTTTTTCTTCTCATCCTCCTTTTTCTCCTTAGCATCCTTCTGCACAGGTGCTGGACCATGCGAATGGCCATGACCACCCTTAACCAATCGTACAAACTTCTCAACAACCAGGAATGCAACAATTCCACAAAGTACCCATAAGCCTACGCTCATATCGTGAGAGTGACCTTCAGAATCATGCGAATGCTCGTGGCTGTGACTGTGGGTATGACCATGATCATCACCACCGTGGCTGTGTGGGTTTACGGCATGCGGGATTAGGTGAAGGAAGGCATCGCCCAGTAGACCACCGGAGGCAAAAGCGAGCAGAACCTTGAGTAGCGGGCCTTGTGCATTGCTCTGATCTAGTGGGATTACAAAGAGGATAGCAAAGGGTGCAGCACTTATTAAGATAGTGGAACCAATAGCCTGCCACCAAATTGTACCCTTGTCCCTAACTGGTTTGCGTGGTTCGTCTTCATGATGATGATGATGATCTTCATTATGAAGTACTATGGGCGGCTGAGGTTCTTGTGTAGGCCGAGGTTCATTAGCTTCCTTTGAGTATCGACTTTTGAATGCTGCTTTAGGGTCAGCATCGTGTGCATGCCCATGCCCACCATCATGAGCATGTCCATGTCCACCTCCATGGGCATGCCCGTGCCCAGCGCTACCGTGTGTATGGCCATGTCCGCCGTGTGCATGGCCGTGGCCGCCGTGTGCATGGCCGTGGCCGCCGTGTGCATGACCGTGGCCGCCGTGTGTATGTCCGTGGCCGCCGTGAGAGTGTGTGTGACCATGGCCTAGGACAATGCTACCAACACAAAGTCCAATGAAAATCAGACAGACAAATCGAATGGTGAATGAATTAACAGCAGCCGTCATTTTTTATGGCAACCTGGTATTCCTAGTAATTTTTATCACCTAAACTTGTAATTTAGCACCACTCTTTGCAGCTAGGCTAGAAAGACACCCTTCCTCTCAAATAACCAATCAACAATACAAGGTGGTACAGTAAATACACGTGGCATGAAATAGAGGGCAGCATATATGTTTATGATGGCAACGAGAGGAGTCCCAATGAATACCAATCAACAATAATGAAAAAAACAAAACAAAACAAAATAAAACAAAACATTTTTGATTATTGATTGGTAGTCTTTCTGCAATTGTAGTTGGGCTATAAGTAAGTAAGTTTATTGCTTCTCTTATTTAACAGAGGCACAATCGTAAAAGATGTGCAACACTAACAGAATCAGTTAATGTGATAAACAGCATGAAAATACAAGAGCAGAACGAAATATATACCGGTATCCTATATGTATCCCGGTATTTCCAAACCCCACAGAAAATAATGTTTTTAACACTCCCATATTGATTGCATATCATATTCATCCAATCGACTTATATGCATGCACTTGACCAAGCGTAGTGCATTGTATCAGAGAATTAAAGGCCTAAACCAAATTTAACTTCAATTTGGTATACGGATACGAATTGCAGGCGAATTGCTCTATTTAGTATCCAAGTGTAAGGACATATGATTCTTCTTTCAGTGGAGGGCAGATCAGTTCGTAATGTGTTTGATTATGCGAAATTATGGTAAGATTTATATATATGGAGATTCTAATAATATTTTGTTATATTTGGTGATTTTACTTTAATCAGGGCTTAACTTACAGGCAGTAAGTTGTTAGTTGTTTGGTCGGAAAGATGTTGTAATTATATGCTTCCGTAGTTGCAATTTAAGTTTCATTGAACTTTTAATTTAGCCTATTGAATTGATTCAAGTCAAAGTAGTCATAAAGCTAAATAGTTTTCACAATAAAAATGTTATGAAAGCAACGGTTCTTAATAATTAATAATATAATAGACCTCCTACTACAAAGAGGTTTTTTTTGGGGGGGGGGGGAGGAAAAAGAAAAAAAAAGAAAGAAAAAGAAAAAATGATCGCCCAAAAGCGCCTCAAAGATTATTTTTGGGCGCCTAGAAAATACCTGAGTGTGATGTTATCTCTATCGGCCCCATTTTCGGCCCCACCTTTCGGCAAGATAAAAAAATATATATTTTAAATTTTGTTAAAATATTAAGTGCATGAGTGAAAAAAACTTATATAGTCCTATTAATATTAATATTATTATTATTATTATTATTATTATTATTATTAATTATATATTTCAAATATTTTATTATTTTACTTCGACATCGACAACAGAGAAACAAACACAATGCTGTACAGGGGCCCCGACAGGGCTGTGTCATGGATGAGCAAAAGTAACTATTCCAAAAACATTAGTAGCAAGATTGATACAATGATGGAGTAGACTATGATTTTATCTATAATAATACTTATTTATCATGTTAATTTTTCTATACAGCATTTACATGTATTAGAAATTAGGGAAAGTAAAAATAAAATAAGCCATTCATTCTACAAAAAAAATGACCCCGACGTGATTTGAACACGCAACCTTCTGATCTGGAGTCAGACGCGCTACCGTTGCGCCACGGAGTCATATATAGTTATGATAAGTCAGTAATCGTGTTGAGTAAAATACGTATGACGAAACAGGTTGTTATATTGTCGGGCGGTTAAGTTTGATCTTCAAATTGATACTTATCAGTGGGCTATTCCATTCATATTATCAAAGTGATGATACCGATAATTAATAATAATAGTTGGCGAATGTACGGCATTAATCTCCTGAAGCTGCAGACTGAATTTAGGTTCTGATTGCAAAACTACAATGAATAATAATATTATAACAAACAATAATTATTATATAAATATTAAATAATATATTAATATTATTGTTATTATTACTGTATAAGAACAAAATAAGAATCTTTCAGATACGCAAATTCAATCTGTAGTCTTCTTTATGATCAATTGATTTTAAAGTACAACAATAGAGAACAAAATATTGGCTTATTTAAATTATATTTTATTTTGCATTAAATTTATATCTAGAACATTAAGCATGTAGGCCTCAGCGAAATTTAAAAAAAAAAGCATTAATTTTATTTTATAAAATTAATGATCCCGACGTGATTTGAACACGCAACCTTCTGATCTGGAGTCAGACGCGCTACCGTTGCGCCACGGAGTCACATATATGATAAGTTAGTAGGCGGGTTGAGCAAATGCGTATGACGAAACAGGTTGTAATAATGTCGGGCGGATAAGTTTGATCGCCTTTAAATCAGTGGATTCCATTCAAATTATCAAAATAATAATGTACGACATTGCTCTCCTGAAGCTGCCGACTGAATTCAGATTCAGAATGCAAAACTACAATAAATAATATTATTATAACAAACAATAATTATTATATTAATATTATTGTTCTTATTAATACTCTATAAGAAAAAAATAAGAATCTTTCAGATACGCAAATTCAATCTGTAGTCTTCTTTACGATCAATTGATTTTAAAATTATATTTTATTTGGCATTAAATTTATATCTAGAACATTGGGCATTTATTTTATAAAATTAATGACCCCGACGTGATTTGAACACGCAACCTTCTGATCTGGAGTCAGACGCGCTACCGTTGCGCCACGGAGTCAGATATACAGTATGACCATGGAGGTATTATTGAGAAGGAGATCACTCGGCAACAGATCCCTTTGACGCGACAAACCTATGTGTTCCCCGCTTTTGGATCGCGCGCGGGCGTATTACCCTATAATTCACATTTTTTCGTTAGCAACAACTTGCCAACGACATGCACTTATACCATAGAGATCTGTCTCTTATACACATCTATGTCCCGAGATGTGCGTCCTTTTGTTGAATTACCTTGTTAAAACCATGGAGGTATTATTGAGAAGGAGATCACTCGGCAACAGATCCCTTTGACGCGACAAACCTATGTGTTCCCCGCTAAACAGTAGCTGTCTCTTATACACATCTAGATGTGTATAAGAGACAGCTTTAGCATAATGCGCTATATAAGCCAAAATTATTATTATTATTATTATTATTATTATTGAACACGCAACCTTCTGAACTGGAGTCAGACGCGCTACCATTGTGCCACGGAGTCAGATATTAGTACGTTACGAACGGAAATCAAAATATTTTATGTTAATTCTAAATCGGTATGACGAAATTTGTTGCAATGATATACAAGATACAACGTCAGGCGTTGATGATGACGAGCCAGTTAATATACCGTATTATATTGTTCACTGTTGAAAATCACTGATTAAATAGGATAATTCCTACACACCCACTCCACTTACACCATTACGCGTTACCCTCTCCCCAATCACCCCATAAACTCTGGAAGAAAAAAAAAATCCACAGCACTTGTACAGCAACAAACGTATTCTCTATTAGAGCAAAGTTATATTTTTAAACGTCAATTCACTTTAATGACGTCATTATTGACCGGAGTTTATTTGCCATCTAAATTATAATAATCCCAAAGAAATATGTTTAGATAAAACTGAAAACATTAAATGCATTTGAAAAATGAAACGTTAAGATATTGATTTAAGCGTCACTAGAACATGTTCTGATATGGCGATAACACCTACTATTTCAAAATACAGGTATCCCCCTCCAAAAAGACCCCTCCAATTAAAGACCACCTCCAATTAAATATCACTATTCTGCGGTCCGGCTTGAATTCCTATCTTTTAAGATTAGCTGTTCCCTCTATTTAGAGACCATGGAAGACCATGGTTTTGATGGACCCAAATGAAAATTTTCCCACCGATTAAATACCATAAAAAGTAACTAAATAAATAGAGATATTAATGCTATTTTTTCTTTATTAAGTTTTGTTATAGGGCTTAAGGCATAAAAGTATTAGCCAATGCACATCATAATAAGATGTTTTGTGTGTGTGTGTGTGTGTTTTGTTTATATTAGTAAAGATAACATTAGTTGCGGTGTTAGTAATATTTTAATGGAAAGTTGCTCAGAACAAATAACAATGATGATGACATACGGTAATTAATATCGAAATATTGAATCAAGACACGATGGCGTGCATTTCGATACTTGGAGTAGGCCTATGTTCTATGTTGTTCGTAATATTGTAATGGCGATTTAGGTAGGCCTATAATACATCCTTAAAGACAACTTCGCTCTAGCACAAAACTGCTTCTCAATCATTTTATAGTTTCAACCAAATCATATCGAGAGCGATCCTTTCAACATGCAGTGCCCAAGCTTTGAAATCAGCTACCAAAGAATGTACGGTAGTGGATTGCACTTGCAAAAACTCACCTATTTATTAAGAGCTTCGCTTAGAGACTTAATAGTAATTTGCGCTATATAAAACCTGATTATTATTATTATTATTATTATTATTATTATTATTATTATTATTCTGACAGAACTTGATGTGTGATATGAATATACACATCAAAATAATACACAACATAAGATGATGTTTCGTGTATTAGTATACAGTGCTCTATTAAATAGGCCTATAATGATAGTTTTAGAGGACAATGATGATGGCATTCGTTAATTAATATCAAAATATTGAATCCCGACACGATGGCGTGCATTTCGATACTTAGTGTAGGCCTGGAGCAGAAATGAGTTTTTAAAGAATCAATAACAACATACAGTAACTGGAAATTCATTTTAAAGCACTTGGAATAAAACGATCTTTTTACTATATAATTTATTAATTTCCCTCTAATTAGTAATATAAGATCATTTTTAGTTCCTCTCTATAATTAGAGGGATTCTAAGACCAAAACTGCTAAAGACAACTAAAACACTGGTCCCAAAAGTCGTTTTAATTGGAGGAGACCTGTATTTGATATTGTTTCTCAAGTTTACATAGGCCTAATTGGCATATAAACAACCGTCCGTCGTTGGTAAAGAAACAGATTTGAGAATATCTGACTAAAAATGTGTTGCATACCAACCTGCAGTCGTGGAGCCAGCGGGGTGGGTGGGGATGGGATCCCCTCACCTTGTCGTACAGGCCTGGACCCCCGTCTTCCGACGCCACGACGAGGTCGTCGCGCCAAAAATAATAATTTGACTATCCAAATAACGTAAAGAGAACAACGTGAAGTGGAATGACACATCATCATACAGAATAAACAAAAATTGGCTTAAATGATAATAGGCCTATATATTCATTTCCTCAAACACAAGAGGTGGATAAAAGCCATTAAGGAGCAAGGTTCCTATAATGTATGGGAACCGTACACACACGCCACGAAATAACAACATTTTGTTAAGTACATTATAGTTCGGTTTGTAGAAAATATTAAAAACAGAACTGCCTGCAAAATGTTAGATTTTAACGAAAACACGGCAAATGTACATTTGGTCGTAATAACAAATTCAAGGGTCTTACTAGAATTAAACATCATATGATTATTGAATTCAAAATATAACGAATGTTAACCGCAGCATTTAAAATTGACTCAAAATGTTTTATGATAGGCCTATACGACAATATTGAGCCAAACAAAATCTGGATTGCTTACTTTGAAAGTTTATATTTAGGCGAATCTTTCTCACTGTTTTATGGCAATATGATAGCTAAGACAGTTTTGCCAGGCTGTGGCGATTGATTTGATTTGTTTGATATCAGTGGTAAGTGTGATCTTCAAAAAATACTTTTCAAGAAAACATAGTAACACTATATATATATATATATATA